TATAATATATATAATATAATATATATATATATATAATATAAAATAATATAATATAATATAATATAATACAATATAATGTAATATATATATAATATCTATATATAAGATGAAAATATTCATTATTCTCAAATTAGTCATAAAAACCCATATTTAATTATTTAGAAAAATATTTTCTTATTGTTTGCGATATTTATATTGATATAAAGATATTTTTTACTTACGTTTAACATTATGTAATGAAAATTGTTATTTGAGTTTTTATACTTTTTAAGATATTAAATTGTTTGATTTCTATATTTACTATATATATTATATTTTTCTTATGTTCTTATTACCTTTTTTATTTTATTATGCAATAATTTAGGAGTGCATTCGTAGCAATTTGTATTTCGGATCATTAGTCGTTATATATATAATTTTCTAAAATCATATTTTTCATTTATTCTATGCAATTGTAAAATGAAACTAAATTTCGAGAGATATTTTTTTACAACAGACATCTCCAAGCAGTGGGACAAATTTGGATCTGGTTCCTGAGCTTAGACACGAAGGAGAAGAAAAGGACATAATCTATTTTTACGATCTACGTGCTGAAATAATCAAAGATTCTCTTGGCGGAGAAGTAAGAATCAGTTCGTCGTACATATCTGTTCCACTTACGAAAGAATCGGAGGATAACACGTTAATAGAGAAACAATGGCGACAATTGAAAGAAGTTTTTGTTAACCATATATATTTGGATGTAAAACAGAAAGCAGGCTTACAAATCAGAAGTTTTATATTAGAAAGTTATTATAATTGGATAGTAAAGTCACGAGGTGGGGATGGTACTATATTAAAAGTATCTTTGCGAGATAAAGTTGCGTGGTTCTTAAAAGAATTAGCTGTAGTTGTACCAAATCCGTCCATTATGAAAATGGACCAATTAATGGATTTTATCAAACAAAAATTGTTGAAACAATATTTGTTAACAAAAATGGATATTATGGTTTTAAATATGAAAAAGGTTACAACAATATTGCAGACAATGCGATCTGGGAGTCCAAATACTGAACAATTGTTCAAGATTTTCGAACTTAATATCGCGCAAGCTGGTATTTTTAAGTTTCTGAGACAGTTGTTACCAGGTATTTTTGACATGGAAGATGAAATTATTAGAGAGCATCTTGCCTTGTTAGATCGTGTTAATAAAGCCGTGCATAAAAAATATCGTGAAATATTAGCTGATGGAGCGCAAGAAAGTTTAGAAAAGTCGATGATAGATAAAAATTCTTATTATGATACGATAATTGATAATTGGCAGAAAGATCTGAAAAATTTTGAAAAATTGGATGTATTAAAAAAACCTAAGGAGCAAGATTCCGTGATCACAGAATTTATGATGGATAACAATGAAAGTAGTAAGTCAGAAATGAAATCTAATGATATTTCTAAAATATCTAAAAGAAATGAAGATGTCAAAGTAGGAAAATTTGAAGACTTTGAACATTTTATATTAACAGAAATAGAAAAAGCTGTGAAAAATTCAGAACAAGATAGTATTAGAAAATTGCAAGAACATATTGATGTTTCAAGAGACATAGCAGATAATACAAGTAAAGAAGCAGTTAATTCAAATAAAGTAGTTTTGAATGTTTCCTCTCAAAATCAAAGTAAAGCTGATACATTAAAAAATAGAATAAAATATCAAATTGAATTTATAAAAAATAAAATTGAAGACTTTACAAAAAATATAGATTCTTTGGTAGATTTTATTAAAATTACAAATTCTTTAGAAAATGTACAATCAAATAATATCGACTTTAAAGAAACAGTTACTAATAATAATAGTGCTGACAAACAAGCACACAAAGAATCTTTACTTACTGACAATGATTTCCAAGTAACGGATGCACAAACAAGTTCTCAGAATATTAAAACAATAGGAAAAGATAATAGTGAAGTATTACAAAAGATTGAAAAAGAAGTGGTTGATCCACAATTAAATAATTATAAAATTATACCTTCTAAACTGCCTAAAGAATGTAAAACTCAAATATCCAAAGAAGAAGGGAATACAAAGTCCATTGATATTCAACAAGAACTAGAAACTTCCAATTCAAATTATAATTCTGTAGATGAAAATAAATTGCAGCATAGTCAAAAATATACAAACGAAGTTAAAAGTAAGAAAGTCGATGTACAAAAACACAAAAGTAAACATATCGACGATGAATTATAATGAAAACTTTTAGGTTTCAAGATCGAATATATATATTAAAAGACACTGTGAACAAATTTCTCACTCCAACAAGCCTGGCAATCCCATTCATACTACATTTGATATTTTTGCACAAAATTTGAACATGTATGCAGTGAGCTTTAATGTTTTTATATGAAATCCATTTTAGGAAAGAATTAGTTATCTAATGAAAAAGTGATATGATGACCAGATTATATCAGAACAATACTTAAAGTCTGTTAAACTGGTGCTTATGAAAAAATTTGATTTCATTTCATT